CGATTCCACAACTGTCAGTAAAATGTAGGGTCGATTCGACAAGTGTCAGTAAAATGTAGGGTCGATTCGACAAGTGTCAGTAAAATGTAGGGTCGATTCGACAAGTGTCAGTAAAATGTAGGGTCGATTCGACAAGTGTCAGTAAAATGTAGGGTCGATAGCAGCAGAAAAGCTGCTAAACAATTAGAATTAAATGTAACGATAGAAATTATTGCAATAATGCAAAGATGCAATTGAAAAATCGCAGAAAAGTCTGATATAAATGTTTGAAAAGTAAAATATATAAGATGAGATACAGTATCTTACCACGTAATGTAACTTTTTATTGTGTAACATATTAAAAACACTGTTTGGGAAAAATTTGTCACAGAATTGCATTTCTTATTTAATCTTCCTTTACTGCTACTTCTTGTGAAATTTTATGTCAGAAAATTGAAGAAATTCTTCTTTGTGTTTCGTAGGTAATTGATTGCTAATTTGCTATTGACAGATCGATGTTAAAATTTGATGTTAAATGGAACTTTCATATCTACCATAGAATCTGAATAATTTTTCAAGGTATTTTATTAAGAAACGCGCACATAGTGTTCAATTTTCTATCTTAGAATTAACTTACTTTATCTTACGAACTACTTAAAGTTCAAACTTTCAACTGTGTGTGAGAATGAGAGTGTCGACGGGTACGCGTAGTTCTTAGCTTGGTATCCTTTTGCAAAAGTGAGAATTTTCTTTGGAAAAGGATACCAATTACCAGGTCCCACCACGAGGAGGTGACTACGCAAGGGACCCGACAAAAACACATGCCCTACTGGCAGCTCTCTATCTTCAGAGATACGCGATTCTCATTCGTAGCAAAGGAAATAGATACTTTTATCAAAAAGAGTGTCTTGTATTTCACTTTAAATCGCAACTCTAATCATTTTCTCATTCCCAATGCAATATTTAAACTCTAAAAATTTCGTACTCTTCCTTAATAAGACGTTGAAAATGTAGATGGTATTTTATTAATTATGCTACGAATGAGTCGCGTATCTCTGTAAGAGAGTGCGCACATGGTATTCAGTACAATTTTTCTATCTTAGAATAGTTTTATTCGATTACTTAAAGTTAAAACGCACGCGTCCCACGACGTCCATCGGCGGATGAATAGAATATTTTCTATTGTCTTATGCTAACTTATTTTATCTTACGAACTACTTAAAGTTAAGACACTCGTTCACGCTCACTTCATACTCGGTACAGTTTTCGATCTTAGAATTAATTAAAGCTAACATGCGATAAAAAGGTACATTTTTCAAACATACAATGAAGCTCTGTAAGAAAAGTATATTATTAAATTGCAATAGGAGGATAAATTGTTAGGATATCTTTATTATATATAATCGTAGCAATGGAATACCTAATTAAACCTCTGATAATGAAACTCATACCTCAACTCAAGGCAAAATTCTTTTTCGAACAGGAGAAAATTGAACTCTTATGTGAGCTCGAAATATTTACCTAAATCGATCATCGAAAAAACGTACAACTCCCTAAACGCAGACCACACAGGTGGACATTGTTAAATAGATTTTATTCCTACCCTGAACCTTATCAGTACTCTCGGTACTTTTTATCTCGTCAGAATTGGCAACAATAGGCTTTGAGAACTGATCTCTACGATCAAGAACGCCCAGGCAATTTATTTTCATTTTATTTAGTAAGGAAAACCGCGAATTTATTACAATTTAACAAAATTTCGCTGGAACACTGAAACAGAATATAAATTAGATTGACCAGATAAATAATTCACACGACTCACCATTCGTAACCTTTGAGATACCCTTAGTGACCCATTTCAGTCCTCCCAGCCTTCGATTTTGACCCACAATTCACTTGGAAGCTTCTCACAGACCCATGAAACTTTTGCAATTCCCCTCAGCCTTGAATTTTCATCCCACCAGTGGCCCACAATGATAGATTGAAAGACCCACCAGACTTGGAAAGCTGTGAAAGGGTGACGCGCGAAAAGTGGAGTACGAATCGCGATTTATTTTCATTTTCAGGGATTTTGTTTAGTACCCGAAACCGCGAATTTCTATTATCCTCCATATTTTCCTGTAGTTGATTTTAGTTGGGACATTTAGCAAAAATTCAAAAAAGAAAAGAGAAAAGAAACGCAAAAATGGAAAAAGGGACGAAGCTATTTATCAAACGCGACGCGACGTGATAAATTCTCGTATCGATCGAAAGTAAATGGGAAAATTGACTCTAAATTGAATTAACGCGGTATACTACTTTGATACTCTAATAATG